TCCGATTTGGACCCCCTTTGTTTTCCCTTGTGCTTTCATCTCCCTATTATATACAGGCACTTGTACATACTTGTTTTGGACCTTCAGTCTAAAATCGACCTGAAATGCCCCCTAGAGACTTCCTGCTCGCCACCTCTGAAATTAAGGACCAAATGGACACACAGCAATGGCACAGCACTCTGCATGAGTCGCTGAGGCCAAGGTCCCTCCTTGCTAAGTCTCCGGTTCCCCTCTGGAATCGTCCGCCCTTGCCCAGTTCTAACATAAACATGTCAAGAGAGTGGTTTATGAGCACACTGCACCAAAAGGATATATATTTCTCCATATTTTTACAACCTCCGCATACTGGCTGACAGGTTGGTGATTGGGCATGGATGGGTATCATTCGTGAGAGGCCCCTTTCTCGAGTACCACTAGGGCATTGTAGGCAGGAATCTCCACTACCATACAAACAAGCCCAGAACTCGCTATCCTGACACCCTGACGAACACCCAGTACCCGATGCACCTTATACACGGTCCCAGATACCCTTTCTACCACTTCCCTATTTTTTCCGATTTTTCCGATGCATTTCCAGCCCTACAGTCAAGATTCCCATGCCTGTCAATATAGCGGCCACCCAATTCCAGGCATATCTCAAGAACCACTGGATGGATTTGGATGAAATTAGTACCGTTGGAAAGCTACGAGAGAGGAGAGTCCATTCGGGCGGCGGGAAAAGGTTGTTGGATGCTCAATTAGGAGGGATACGATTTCCATCATTCGTTTTATTGTTTCTGATATTGTTTTCATTGCTTTTATTTGTATTTCCTTTCCATCACTTTCTTTGCTATTCTGTGTCGCCATAGAGGCGTATTTCTATTCTTCCCCTTTTCCCTGCGATTTCTCACTTATAGCACACATTTTCATGTATGGTACCAGAGGACTCCCCTGATGAGAAGGGACATCTGTCAGGGCATGCCGCTCCGCTCTGCACCACACCCTCCCATTGCACCCCTTTCCCTTTCTCCTTTGCCTTTCTTCTTTCCCTTTCTTCTTTCCTTTCTTTCTTTATACGGACGGCCTCTCCTCTTACTCATGTAGCATGGACGCATCCAATGCTGAGTACTCCATGTGGGTACTGTGCTGCTGGATACGCCATGCATCCTCATTTGTACTTCTCTCCTCTGACACTCAGGATCGCCCACAGAGCCATCCACGATAGCCTGGCTCCACCCAGGCTGACATGACCCATTCCCACCTGTATATAAACCAAGCCGAAGCAGAACCAAAGAAGCAGCCTTCTTCTCACTACTGCTTCAGGCAAGGATCTTACTCTAGCTTAGTTTAGTTTAGTTTAGCCATTCATCCTAATAACAATCACTACTGCTTCAGCTTCAGCCTAAGGAGCCAGACAGGGACATGAGCCCAAGTGAGGGCCTCTCGCCATACACTCCCATTACTCTGCCGCCACCCAGGCCGCCAGCGCTGGGGGCTATGCCATTACCCCCACCTCTCCTGTACTGTCCCTGACAACATCCCACCAAGAAGTTTAGTTGTTTGACCAGTCTAGTGACGCCAGAGTGCAACCAGTACATTGATACAGTATCTCTGACTCCTGGAGATAGTCCAGAGTGACCAGGAATGAGTACTTATTTTGTGAGAATTTATTGATTGTTGTCAGTAGCTGTCAGGGCACATACCCTGACTTAGCCCGGACCCGCTCCACTTCCTGCGCGCACTTCCCATGCTGCATGATCCGTGCACCACATGCTCCAGTCCCCGGATCCTACCTTCATGTGACTTCTGGGTATCCCCGGAAGTTTTCGCCATATTGGGGCCACTGTGGGAAAGTGAGAAGTTAACCTTCTCACTTTCTTACCCACAGTAGCTATGCCCTGAGATGGGCTGTGTTTACAGGCCAGACTGTGGACTGTAGAGAGGGGTCATGGGGACCCGGGGTCCGTCCCCTGACAATCGGCAGCTACTTGGCACTCACAAGAGCGTACCAGTGATGAGGGTGACAGGCCTGTATTGAGTACGAGTCTGTCCATAGAGTTGACCAGTTTCTCACTGTGGAGTGAGACAGACAAGAGCCCCATGTTAGAATGGGCGGATTCAGACGACTCCAGAGTGGAATCGGAGACTTAGCATGGAAGGACCTCGGCCTCAGCTGTTATGGAAATGGGATTTTCCCATTTTTAGCCTCTTATGGGCTCTATGCAGTACAATATCACGTGACATGTAAATAGTAACAACAAAAACCAACTATTATCACCCAACACACCCGATGTCCATGTTATTGTAAACCCCACTGTTACAACATCTGTTACATTAATTGTAACGTCTTCTCAATGTCACGGCCCCCTCCTGCACCTGAACGCTATAGAAATGGGCCAATTAGGCCCCATTTTTATAACATCAGCGACTCAGGTGGAGCGCTGTGCCATTGCTGGTTGTCCTGGGGGTCCCTAATTTCGGATCTAGCAGAGGGAAAGTCTCTTGAGGGAATTCAAGTCGATTTCGGACTGAGGTTACAAGTTACTAGGTACATTGTATATAAGGAGGGGTCCGGAATCAAAAGGAACAAGGGTAGGACGAAAGGAGACAAAGGGAGATGGAAAGAGGAACAACACTGAGGGTCAAGTGTTTGACTCAATGGTGTTTCCCAAAGGAGGAATGAAGGGCCAAGGCCCAAGGAGGAAGGAAGGAGGTTGGGAGAGGGGAATGGCTAGCTGACTGAATAGAAAGGAAGCAGCAGCCCAAATAGGAATGAGGGAGAATAGCGGAATTGAAATGGACAATGCAATAGTTGCAAGGTCCGGAGTAAGTCCGGAAAGTCCGAACTCGGAAGTTAAACTCCGGAATATTGGCAAACATAATTAAATGGAAAGAGCTAACCAATACAATGGGTATAAGTGGAGGTGGGGTCAAAGTCCGAGGTCGGAGCTAAGACCGGAGGTTCTGGAGACAGAGACGTGAACGGGATTCCGGAGCGGAGGTCCGGAGTTGGGAGCATAGGTTTTGCATACTCATCTGGAAGGTGTCGAGGTTGGGGTCGGACCCCGAATGTTCCGGAGTCGGACTGAAGGTGGTGTCCGAGCCGGAGGTGGGATAACCTCTTGGGAGTCGGCAAGGAGAAAGTGACGGAAGGGAAGTAGGGCTCCGGGAGTCGGAGTTCGGAGTTCCAGGAGCCTGGAGCAGAGGTCGGGATTGTATGGATATGACACCCCATGCCTGGGCAAACAATGTGAGTCGTTGTCAGGGGACATAGCGTAAGCGGTTCTCTGTTACCCTATCGATATCGCGTAAGACTATATCACCGCATGTAGCCGCATCGGCCCTCATATATCGTAAATCCCTCACCTTCTCCTGATCCGACTCTGCCCCCTGATCCAAGTGTTCCTTCATCTCTATTCACTTCATTTTCTATCGGATCATTGTTTAGTTCCTTTGATCCTGTCTCTTCTGATTGATTGATGTCACTCACATATATAGCTCTATGTGCCGCTGAGGGTTGGAACCTCAGCTTTGTCTACGACTAGGTTTTTGGGCGATATTCAACTCGGACTGACAAGCGATCCCTGACAGTCGTAACAGAAGATGTTCACGCATACTGTCATATCCTGGAATCCCAACCCCGTGCACTCCCACCACATCACACCTTCCTAACAACTTCACCATCCCCTACACCTTGCCTCCCCACTCCCCAAGTCACCTTCCCTCCTGACTGTCTCAGCTCCGGTCTGGTTGTGGCACACCGAAACCTTGGCCACTCCCATCCCGGAAGCTCGTTCCTGAGTCAGAACATTCGGAGACTCCGGATTTGCTCCGATATCCCGACGGACCTCCGACATCCTGTGACACACCCTTAAACCATTTCTCCACCCATTTCATTTATTTGAGTCACCCAACATCCTTTGGATATGCAACTCCGCTTTCGGAGTTACCTGCATCCTTTGGTGATCTCACTCACGTCATCACTTATTAGTCACCTTCCATTCTTAGCACAACTATCTTCTTTCAGTCGGCTAACCCCCCCTTACCCATTTCTCGTTCCCATTCATTTTCCGGCCTCTTACTCCGCCCTCCATGGTCCGACACCTTGGTTCCCCGTTAAAGATATCGTTCAGGACCTTTCGGTACCTCTCGGTATCATTCAGCACCTTTCGGTGTTGTCCCATTGTCATTTGGACTTTGACTAAGTCCTTTCCATTCCCCTTTATAAATACCCATAGATTAGAACCTGTAGTTCCTCAGTTCTAATCTCGACTAAAATGCTACCCAAAGTCCCTCTGAGTGAATCCCATTCCCGTTCTACAAGATACCTCAGACATAAGAAATACAAGGACTAACTGAGATGTAACGGAGGCACAGCGCTCCCTCCGAGTCGCTGAGGCTGCGTCCTTCTTAGAGCCTCTTGTACCATCCAGCAGAACCAGGCTTCCTGGAGAAGCTTCGGTCCACCACCGGAGCTCTCGGACCCCCCTCTAGTTGAGCCCTGCCTGCATTCGGACTCACGCATTTACCCCTACGATCTGGGTTTTTGACACATACCTGAGTTGAGTCACATGCGAACTCAACAATCCATGGCTAGAGTTGTCATCCTTGGTAGGGATATCCATATAGGTGGTGTCCAAGACATATACAGCCATACACAAATGTTTACAATGTTGGCACAAGGAGGTTTACAGTTGTTGCACAGAGAGTGGGAGTATGTTATTGTAGTTTCAGTTCTCGTCTCTCTTGGCTCTAGCCATACATGAACATGACGCTAACTACTGAATGTGTAAGATCACAAGAAGTCTCGCGAAATGGAATAACAATCCAGCCAGCACCAAAACTCCAATAAGGGAAAGCTTAGCATGGAGTGGGTGTGTAAAAAGGGGGGGAACAGGGAGAATGTAAGAAAGAGATCGGAGGAAGCAGACAAGGAGGACCCACTGTGGTTGACATTCAGTCAACACGGTCGTGAGAGACTCCATTCCTATAACATCACCCCCCAGTCTCTACCGACCATGTCAGGGCGGATGAGAGGCATGCCATTGACGATTGTCTCGATGTGGGGAATGGCTCCTAGATCGTGAATGGTGCTGACTGGAAGGATAATTGTAGGGATCATCACATGGACGTGATGAGGACATGTAGGAAGGTGGCACGTTTCCGTGATGGTAAGAAGGCAGCACCGGATATGGGGCATGGGGAGGAGGTGTGGCCAGATTGACCACAAATGCAGGTATGGCCATGTTTGAGCCGCTGTCCACTACCCAGGTGGGATTCACTGGCAGGGCGACAGGGGCAATGCATGGAGCTGAGGATGTCGAAGGGGATTGATAGGGCACTAAGCTCGATGAGGGGCCCCTTGCACTTGGGGATCTCGATTTCGTTCGAGGTTCCCTCCAAATTAGCGAGTCTCGGGAGGCTTCCTGATGCCAAGATCTTTCATGGCTGTGGTCCTCCAGATGGTAAGAGTCGGCCCCAGAGTTGTATGACTTGTCTTGCATATGCCAGCATGGTTGATTGGGACGGTTTGCTACGTGCACCCTTCTGGACCTGGGGTAAGGATTTGACCTCCTCTCCTCTCTTGGGAGTCTCTGCCAACGAGCCAGGCTCGAGGTGTTCGAGAGGGAGGATGAGGTGGATGATGCGGTTGAGGAAAGGGGAACCGGCAAGGATGACAGTGTCCCAAAATTCAGCATGAACAACAAATTACCAGTTCCAGGCCATTCAGGGGGAGGAAAGGAATCCGGGATAGCAAGGTCATGGACGGTAAGGTCTTCATTCTGCAGCTCAATGTCGTTGTTGATGACCATTGGTTGGTTAGGTTGTAGTAGACGGCAATCCGCATCGTCTTCCAACACTACATCTGAAGCTTCATTACAAGTCATGAATCATCCCATGTCCACATAATAGAAAGCTCTATGGTATTGCCTCCTTTCAACCAGCTTGAGAGTGGAGAGATCTTGACTGGAGGTGGGTGGTCCAGGCCACATTAGCTTTTGCAAATAAGAGTCTCGATCCTCCATCCCTGGTAATGGGTCTGGGAGGCCTTCCCACATGGGCCAGTCAAAGAACCATTGTAACCTTGGGTCTCCAAGGTGCTGAACTATGAGGGACCGTGCCCTGGCAGCGTGGTCTGGTGAGTCAAAGTTTTCTAGGTGGTTGCCCTTTTTCCGGCAACAGGCCACCCCACACACCACATATGGTGTTAGCTCAAGCAATTCCAACATGGTCTGGTTGTCAATGGAGCCATCCTCGACAATTATTCCTTTTGGAGGTTTGAACCAGTCTACTTCCCAATCCAGATTGATGGAGTCTGATGACAGACGGTCTCGTGCCCGGATGAAGTTAACAAATGCCACAAGAAGAGAGATAATGCATAAGATGTAGGTGTATCGAGCCACTATAACAATTGGATGCTGCCACAGGGCAAATTGGAAGGCAAAAGGGTTTCAATCTTGTTTGTGGTCTCCTCCAGCTTCCGATTCCACTCTGTAGATGACGTCATGCAATTCTGCTGGTAGTTGTAGGGACGAGTGGGCTTCAGCTGCGAGTGTGGCCATCTTGGCTGCCTGCCAACACTCTAGCAGGAGGGTAAGGGCTCTGAGCGGTATGTTTTGGTTTTGGTTTTCTTTCAATACTTCCACCTCATTGAGATGATGGTCTTCTGGGACCAGCAACCATAGTTGATCGAGCAGATGAGGACCAGAGCCCAGGCTTCTAACAGGTGCATAGGAGAATACAGGATCTGACACCCCAAACTTGTCAGAGACCAGGTTGAGACGAGGGAGCGTCTCCGTGATGGAGGGCTTCGGCCTCAGCAACTGATGCCAGGAGCGCTGTGCCAAGTAACATGTCTGTGCCCTAACTTACTAACTGGCAACCAGAACTGAAGGGGGTAAACTCTAGTCGATTTTATTACTGAGGTGTAACCTATGTACAAGTTGAGTATATATATGGTTACAACGAGAGCGGGCCTGCAAATGGCGGAGCGGAGCTAACGGGGTTAGACATTAGCCGATTGAATATTACCGACGAGTCGGGTTATGGGGTTAATGGAATGGCAGGCGATAACCCAGAAACGGAAAGGAGGGATAGGCCCAAAGGTGGGCTTGCAGGGCAAGCGAGTGTATTGCCCAGCGGAGGCAGGAGTGTGCCAGCGGACGTCAGAGCTGTCTGGAAGCCTTCGGGGCTCCGTACTTAGGGAGGCATAGGTAATAAATTGAAAAGAGGGGGTGGTGACCATCGAGAGGTACCGAGGTGATTACGGAATACGGGAGCTCCGAGGTTAGTGAAGAAGGAGCGGAGGTAGACCGGAGGGATCGGAGGGAGTGGAAGTCAATGGCCGGGTGTCAGGGACGGCTCGAGGAAGGCAGGGGTAGTGGTGTAGCGCTCAGCGCTAGTGGCCCGGACGGTGGCGGGGCGGTGAGACCATATAGTGGGCAGCCCTCGCTCGGGCTTACGTCCCTGTGTGGCTTCTTAGGCTGAAGTGGGAAATGTATTGTTATTAGGTGGGAAGCTAGACTAAACTAGGGTACTTGCCTGAAGCGGGAAATGAGAAGAAGGTTACTTCTTCGGTCCTGCTTCGGCTTAGTTTATATACATGTGTGAACGGGTCACGTGGAGGTGCCACATCACCCTCGGACGAAGCCAGGTTACTGTGGGTGGCTCCACGATCGATCCCGAGTGTTGGAGGGGAGATACAAGTAGGAGTGTGCTGCATGTCCAGCGTTGCGGTGCCCCGGGGTGCTCAGCGTCGGACACGTCCATGCTACAAGTGTAGGAAAGAAAGAGAGGTTGTCTGTATAAAGATAGAAAAAGAGAAGAAGGAAAGAAAAGAGAATGAGAGGATGAGGCAAAAGGAAAGGAGGTGGTGGCAGCAGTGGCAGCATGCCCTGACACCGGGGATGGATATGACAAAACTGACCATTCAACCACATGCTATGTGATGGAGCGATTTTGAACAGCTCCATGTCGATCTTGATGGCTTCTAGTCCGGCATGATCCACCCGATGAGCACCAGTGATCGCAACAGAGTTGCTGGGGGCGGGTCTTCGGCTGATGCTGGCTAAGGCCAGCGACATGGGATGAGGTAGAGAAGTGGGAGAGATCGATAGTGATTGGGGAATGAGTGGTGATCGGTTGATGCCATGATCTGGCTCCGACTCGGGATGTCCTGACTTCGCTTGATTGGGCAGTTGGCGCTTAATAGCATCTGCTCAAGCCAGTCCTCGATTTATATTTCACCAGTATTTCGGGTGCATTTCTGAGGTCTCTTTCCATCACCCACATATCTTCCTGGGCCCCATACCCTTTCCACCAAACTCTGAATAACCCTTTCCCTTTTTGTCTCCTGTGCCCCACCACATCATCCACCTCAAACTCCTCTGAGGCTCTAATGTCGTCTCTAGGGTTGGATAGGTGGGGTCACGAGTTGTCTCCTGTGGGCCGGTATGGCCTTAAGTGAGCCACTTTGACCAGTGCATTGGGTAGGAGTTGGGGAGTGTCAGGGCACACCCCACCTGACCCTGCACCGCACCGCCCTACTCCGCTCCCCGCTATCACTCCCTGTTTCTTCTTTCCCTTTTCCTTCTTCCTTTCTATTTCCGTTCCATGGTCGACTTCCCCTTCTCTATGTATTACTACACACCTAACCCCGCTCCCCTGATCACTGCACCTGCCACGCGCATTCCCGCTCACAGAGCGGCACACCTCCGGGATCTCCCGTGGAGATACCCAGGGAAGTGTGGCTGTGTGCGGAGATGACATGGCTCCTCCCACGTGACCCCAACTGCATGTATATAATAGCACCTGGGGTGGGAACAGAAGAAGCAGCCTTCTTCTCAACTTCCCACTTCAGACTAAGTGGTCGGGGACGCTCACCCCGCAACGGGACCGCCGCTATGCATAGCCGACACCTGTCCCATCGAGTCCCTCGCACCGGGACCTCACCGCTTTCGGAGCTGTCCCTGACAGGGAGCCTTAGCCGATTGCGTTGTCATTAATCACCTCCGTTACCTTGAAGAGTCCTATGCATCTCTGCATCAGCTTGTGCCCTTCCCCTTTTGCTTCCAGGAGGTTTAACTTGTGGGGGTCGATGAGAACTAGGTCGCCTATGCTGTATATAGCTTCCTTGCGTTTAGAATTATAAGCTTTAATCTGTGATTGTTGGGCATTGAAGATGGCTTCACAGGCCCATTTTCGTCGAAGATTTAGGTCCTTCACCCTCTCCTCTGCCCTGACATTGAGACCTTCTTCCGGGACAAGGAATGAACTGGGAAGACAGGGCCCGAATCCCATGAGTAGCAAGGCCAGGGTCTCACCTGTAGCTGTATGAGGGCTGTTGTTATCTGCCAACATGAGGACGTCCAAATATTCATGCCAGTTGCCTCGGTCCTTATTGACGAAAGCTCTTAACATGACTTCCAGCTGTTGATTCATGACTTGACTTCCATCTGACCATCTGTTTGGGGGTGAGCAGCGGTAGACATCGCCAGTTTAGTATCAAAGTGACGGGCTGGGGAGGTCCAGAAGGTTGAGAGAAATCTTGGGTCTCTGTCGCTGACTATGACTGCAGGTAGTGCCATATGTTTGATTATGTGGTGCCACAGCAGATCAGCCGAACCTCGTGTGTCTACTGTAGAAGCGCAAGGAATGAAATGTCTGTATTTGGTGAGTTTGTCAACTACACTAGGATGGCATCGAGATGAACGACACTCTTCACCATCGGGAGACCCATTATGAAATCTAGTGATATGGCAACTGAGGCACTGGCAAGGGCTTCAGCAGTCTGGGGGCCTTGCCTCGGTCATGCTTGATCTTTTGACATACATCGCACATCTCCACATATTGCTTAGTATCTTTTCTGAGATTCTTCCAATGACATTTGGCCTTCAGACGCTTGAGGGTTCTCTCTACCCCCACATGAGTGGCCTCGAGGGGTGAGTCATGGAACTCTTTGCAGACCAGGGGTCTCAGACAAACTGGCATGCACACTTGCCGATTGGCTTGGGGGTCGTCCCACAATAGCACACAGCCGGTTCTTCCCTTTTTGGCTGGCGATTATGACGGGAGCACCCCAGGGACTTCGTGATGGCTCTATCACTCCTAGTTCCAACCAAGAGTCTAGTTGCTTATCGATGATCTCCCTCTTTAGTGGTGATGCATGGTAAGGAGGGAGAGAGATGGGCTTGGCATTAGGCTTCAATGATATACAGACCCAGGCATTGTAATGTCCCAAGTTACTGGTTGTGGCGAAAGCCTTGGCACAACGCTGCACAATCCTTTTCAGCTGCTCCTTTTCGTCGAGGGATAGCTCTGGATTAATTCCACAACTTGGGTCAATGCTTCTGGCCGCATCTCTTCCCCTGGCCATGTCTCCACAGTCTTGGGCCTGACTAGAGACTCGAGGGTGTCCTCCTTGTCTTTTGGTTGTTTCTGGGTCGACAAGCCGGTGATCATGGCTTGATACAGCGTGCCTTTCCTAGTGAACTCGTGCAGCTGGTTCTCAGTCAATTGGTCCGCACGGTCTAGGACCTCTCGTGGTCATTGCATAATGGCAACAATTTCACCCTTGGGGACTCTGATCAGGTACGGGTTTGGGTTGGTCAGAGGCTATCAGACGGGGTTCCAAGTGTCTACCAGCATGATGGGTGGTGGCAAATAGTCTCCTGGGCTCCACTGGCTACTCCAACCTTCGACCAAATGCATTCCTGAGTTGCTGTCATAACTGCCCGCAACTTCGACCCGTCTCACCATGTATGGTTCTAGGGTCACATCTTCAACTAGCTTCAGGCACCCAGTTCCTGACTTTTCTACCTTCCTGACCTTAGCCAGTGCGTCTGGTAATAGCGTCACTTGATCAACTGATTGGTGGTGCAACTGGCTC